TCTTCCATGAAACCAGTCCCTGGTGCCAATAAGGCTGAGGACCACTGTTGTAAAGACATATAATTTTTAAATTATTCTACTTGGAATTTTCTCTGCTATCATCAACCTCTCTCTATGGGATACTTTAGCACTCCCTATAAAGGACCAGCATTCAGATGAACAGTTACTTCTGTGTCTTTTTTTTCAGCGCAGGAACCATGTAATATAGAACATAACAAAATACATTTTAGAAAATACTATCTTCTGAGTAGAAAAATTTGAACACTGTAGCTATTCTGTTCTAACACGGCATATCCTGGGCCAGAGTGTTTTGCTGATTTTCAGGATAAATGATGATTCCCTCCCCACTGGAATACCATTTATTGATGAAAAGCATGATTTGAACAAACTGCTATTAGCAATAATATTTTCCCCGAAAATTTCTGAATCAATTACCAGATTGAAACCTAGAGGGCTATTTCTGGATTTCCGTTTTCAAAGTACCTTAGAGATGATTGTAAATTCATGAAGCAATTCCCTGAATGAAGTAGTTACCAAGCTATAAACTCTCCAAGGCCAAGTTCACCCCAAATCAAGCAAAGGAAGCTCATTAGCTGAGGGGTAGGAAAATGACTTAGTACGGATAAAAAAAATAATAATAAAAGGATGATCTTGCACATTTTTCTGTCTTGATTTGGGCCACAAGAAGAATATATACCTAGTAACAAATACGATAACTTCACTTAGCCTTGCAGTTTTAAGAGTTCTTTTTGAAATGTTGGTCCACTGTAACATTTTATAAACTCAAACAAGTACATACTGTTATAAACTCTTTCAAAATTAAATTGACTTCTCATTCAGTTTCTGGATTTGTTTGCTCCTCAGTTTAGCAGAAATGGAAAACCAAATCTTTCTTCTGCTTAAAAATCACGGAATAAAATGGTACAATCACTTTGTAAAATAATTTGGCAGTTTCTTAAAAAATTAAATATAAATTTACCATACAACTCAGCAATTCCACTTCTAGATATCTACTCAAGAGAAATAAAAACACAAAGCTCACACAAAAACTTGTACACAAATACTTGTACACAAATCTTCATAGCAGCGTTATTTTTTATAGCCCAAAGTGAAAACCATCTAAATGTTCATCCCATGTTGAATGCATAAACAAAATGAGGTATATCCATAAGTGAGTTACTATTCAGCAACAAAAAAGGAATGTATACTAACACTACAACATGGATGTTCCTGAAAACATTATGCTAAGAAAAAAGAGAACATATTTTATAATTTCATTTATATGAAATGTCCAGAAAGGGCAAATATAGAGAAACAAAAAGTAGATTAGTGGTTGCCTGGGGCTGGGTGTGGAAAGAGGGATTGACTGCAAATCGGCACAAAGGAATTTTTAGGGTAATGGAAATGTTCCAGAATTTTTTAGTGTTAATGGTTGCAAAACACCACATATATACTAAAAATCACTTAACGGTACAAATAAAATGGGTGAATTTTATGGCATGTAGATTATAACTCAGTAAAGCTGTGTGACACAGACACACACACACACACACACACACACACACACACACATACAGTGGTTCCCCATAACCCAGAAAATAAAGTCCAAAATCTCTAGCTCCCCCCACTTTTCCAGTCCAATGGCCTTTATTTCCCCACAGAGCAATGTAACAGCTTTTCCTCTTCCCCAGAACATGTAGAACTGTTTCATCCTTCTGTGTTTTTTCATACCTTAAAACCCACGGCCCCTTCTCTACCCAGTGAACTCCTATTCATTCTTCAAGACCCAAAATAAATTAAACTTCCCCTCTGAAGTAGTCACTAAATTGTCTTTGTCAGAATGAGCTCCTTCCTCATTTGTTTTCCCATAGAATCTTCTATTATATATGTGTATGCCATTTCTTCTTCATATTATAATCCTGTTTAAAATGCCACCTTTGTTGTGTTTTATTGATCTTTGATTTTTTTGCAGAAAAAATATATACTAACAGCTACTATTTATTGAGCATTGACTCTTTGCAATGCACTTTTTATGTTTTACTTCTAATCCTCAAATCCTCACAACAATCCTGTAAGTGATGTAATACTGTCTGCATTATCCAGACGAGGAAACTGAGACTTGAAGAGGACATATAGTATGTCTAGGATCACACTGCCAATAGGCAGAAAAACTGAGATGCAAACCTAAGGTAGACATCTGGTGGGATGCAAAAACTCCACCTTCTTTCCATTAACCTGCTTGTGGTTTACAAGGCAGAGCACAAAGAAGAAATTATACATATATTTAATATATTGTAACATGTATTAGTCTGTTCGGACTGCTGTAACGATACCATAGACTGGGTGGCATAAATAATGTAGATTTATTTTTGCAAAGTTCTGGAGGCTGGAAAATCCAAACCCGGGGGCCAGCCAATTTGGTTTCTGATGAAGGCCCTGTTTCTGCCTTGCAGATGGCCATCTTCTTGCTGTGTCCTCCCTTGGTGGAGTGAGTGAGCTCTGGTCTCTCTTCTCATAAGGGCACTAATTCCATCACTGGGGCTCCACTCTTGTGCCTTAATCTAAACCTACTTCCTTCCCAAAGGCCCCACCTCCAAATAGCGTCATATTGAAGGTTAAGACTTCAAGACATGAATTTTGGGGAGGACACACACATTGGCAAAAGTTATGAGACCTGATTTTTAGTATCAGTTTTATCACTGATCACGTGATATTAGGAAAGTCACTTGACAATTTAGGCCTATTTCCTCACAAGGAAAACAGGAAGGTTGCACTAGATAATCTCCAAAGTGCCTTCCAGTTCTAAAAATTCTGATTCTGTGTGCTATCTTGCAACCACTGGAACTCAAGTACAACAGGCCAGATCATAGTGTTTGGTAATGATCTGGAAACTCAACACAGGGCATGTCTGGTGATGCTACCATAGCGTACTAATATGAGCTGGTACATCCCAGCAGTATGAGTTCTTAAATAATTATAGCAGTTGCTGTAGGCTAGGATAGGACTCCCCAACTCTAGTTGCCTGCTTTGTGAGATACTACCCAAGGCACAGACTCCTACACTGCCTTTGTCCTAGCACAAGCTGTCAACATCAGTTACCTTATAAGAAATGATACTTACACAGTGCCAGGCATTGCATCAGTTGATTTTTCAAGCATTCACAAGCACTGTCTCCTAACTAGCCTCCTCCCTCTAATTCATTCAGTATGTTGCAAAATAAACTTTGGTGAACATGGTAACTCTGAGTGTGTCATCCCTCTGCTTTTTTGTTTGTTTGTTCCCTAGCATTTCATTTATTATATAATAAAGTCAAACTTCTTTAGGCTGGCACATAAGGTCTTCTGTGTTCTGGTCCCCATCAATTTTTCCACTCCCTTTTCCTCTACTACCCTTTGGAGACCTTGCCTTCCAGACAAATTAACCTACCTTTGGGTCCCTGTAGCATATTTTTTATGTTAACATAATTTCTAACAACATCATAAATCATTCTAAAATTTAAAACATACATGCTTTCCTAATAGTATACAAACTTGACTCTGTTCATGCAATAGGTTTATGCAGTTCCTTGTGTTCAACAATAATCAGAAGAGGCCATTGTTTTGGACTAAACCACACTAGGCCCCAACAGACTACACTGAAAATCAAAACGGATCACTCATACTCACCCAACTGAAAATGAGTTGTTATCTGGCCTGCTGAGAAATCAGGAGAGGGGGGTAATGGCCTAATTTCCCAGACAGGCCAGTTTCAATCTTCAATCAGCATGATAATGAAGTTCCCTATGTTTTAATCCTTACAGCAAAAGGTAACCTGAAGTAATCTGATGTGAACCAGTTATTTTCCCATTGTTCTCTTTCACTGTCCCCACTTTACAAGGAAACTAACTTTGAAATGACCGATGTACTTTTTGTTCTTTGTTTCTGCTTTCTTCAGCCCTTTTTCTGTCTAGAAAGCCAATTTCCTGTTTGATTCATTGGAACACTTGAAGAAGTGTTACCTGATTCTAGAATCTCAATAAAGCCAATGAAGATCTTCAAATTTATTGTAATTTTTCTTTTGGCACTTGTGCTGGTCTCTGTCTAGAATGCCCTTTCCCATCATTCCACATACCCAAATTCTTCAAATGAGCCCACATGGCAAGTGCCCAATGTGGTAAATGACATATAAGTACCCAATAAATGTCTTTAGCTATTTAAAGCCGCTTTTTGCCCCTCACACTAGTAATTTCTCTCCCTCTCTGAACTCACTCATCTTTTCTATATACCTCACTTATGTAGCTTATCACTTTCTATATTATTTAATGTAAACATCTTAGATTCCTAAAGATCAAATGCTCTAGAAAAACTAGCATTCAGTCTTAGTCCTATGTATACCCAGCACCAAGCACAAAGTATGTGCTTAAAAAAGCTTTCCTCAACGATGAGAAAAAAGCCAGGGTGAGAACCACAATAGCCTCTGGTGGAAACTGACAGCTAAAACGGGACAGGGAGCGGAATGGAGGTGAGGCAGCACTTGATGAGGCCCTACTATGTGCCAATTACTGGGCTGAGCGCAACTTCGCCCCTTGTTTCATTTAATTCTTTCCACAATCCTATGAAGTAGTAGCAACAATATCGTCTCCATTTTACAGATGAAAACTCTAGGTCAGGGAAGTTAAGAAACTTGACTAAGGTCACAACCAAGCCTGGGTCTTTCCAGTACTGTACTTGTCGCTTGTCCTTCCAATTTATCACTTCCTTTCCCCCTCCCAAGGCTGAGGACTTTCTAGGATAACACGCGGCCCCCTACCACTTCCTCCCAGCGAACCCGGTCTCGCACTTCGCTGCCAGAACCACAAGGATTCGCGTGGTGGGGAAGGGAGTGGGCCCCTTTGAGACACACAGGCCCCGCCCACTGTGTCGCCAGTGACGTCATCACGCAGGGCCGGGGCGGCGCGCGCCGTCCTTTAAATAAGGCCTTCTCCGGGCGCGCGCGACTGCGTGAGGAGTGGGGTGGAGCGTGTGTGGCGTGGGGTCTGCGGCCGGGGCCAGAGCCGCCGCGGACCATGAGGTGGGCGGAAAGGCTGCCTGGCAGCCGAGATGCGGAAGGGAGGGTGTTGCCCTGCCAGCGGGCGCGCTCGTGCTGGGGGGGGAGGGAACATGGCGCCTCTCTCGGCGGGGCCGGGACCCTTTGCTCCCTGTTCTGACGCGGCTCCTATCCTGGCCTTGCTGGCCCCTTTACCTGCCTTCCTGCAACCTTGTTTCGCTTCTCCTTTCGACTCCCTTCCCTTAGCCCTTCCTTCTGCCTTCATCGACTTCCCCTCTCCAAGCCCACACTGGGTCGGAGTGTGAGAGGTGGATTAAGTCAGGCCCGTCCGGTGCCAAGAGAACGATCCCCTAAATTTTACTATTTCTCCCATGACACTTTATCAGTCTGTCTTGGTGACAAGAGAAGCACTGAACATGGAGAGAGATCAAGCCAGATTTGTTGTCCTCATGATGTCTCTAAGTGATCCTATGAAATGTTACTTAAGTTGCCTGGACCTCCTCAAATGTGAAGTTCTTTGTGAAGGGTCTAAGAGTCTTCATATCCAGGGAGCTTTTGTCACGCATTGCCTGCCAAAACTGCCCCTTACAATGTATGATTGGGAAAACAGAAGCAAGATTTAGTTTGGCAGAAAGGGAGTGGAGGAGAGCTGAGTTATGACATAAAGCTCCATGCCGTAAATTCATCTATTATGTAAGCAATGAAAACGCCATGCCGTTGGGCTGTTATTTCCTCAGAGTGTTCTAGGAGTGACACTCCAGGCCTGAATTAAATGGAGAAGGACTCATCCTACGTTTTCATTGTTGCTCTGCTACAGGGAACATTGGGAACATTCATCTGTCTGCTGTATTGCTTTTTAAGTGCCACCGTCAGTTGAGGGTGGATGGTAGGGAGGGGTTCTTCCTCACCTGAGTTAACAGCACCTGACCTAGGCAATCCCTTGCTTTTGATCTTGACCCTTTGTTTTTCCTCAGTTGGGTGTAGATTCTGGAAGGATCCTGCCTCTGTTGGAGCTTTTGCTGCCAGGCAGGAGCAACTGTGAGCTAGAGGGAAGCAGAAGTCTAGGAAGATGAGCTCCAAGATGGCCACGAGTGAACCAAGACTGAACTGGTGAGTTGTATCCACTTTGTAATCCACTGAAGAGGAGTGAAGTGAGGCTGGTGATTGGCATAGGAAAGGGTTTTTGGCTTGAAGAGATTTGGAAGAAACAGAAAAAGATGTAAGTTCAGGGTCTCAGAATTTACTTTACTTATCTTCGCATTCTGAACACTTCCGAGTAGCTGACCGTACTTCCACTCCTAAAGTAACAACAGTTGAGCACTCAAGATTGTTTTTAGGTATGAGTCCATTATGTATTTATTGTTGGTCTCTTGTGAAAGAGAGATGCTGGAATTTTCTTGTCCAAGAAACTTGCCCATTTCCATACAAGTAATAAAAAAGACCCTCTTTAAGAATAGACACACCTCTTTTTGTTTTTGGAATCTATATCAAGTGATAATATAAATACATACTGTATATTAGAAGTGTGTGAGAATTTTGCAAATAGAAAAGCCAGTTAAGTAATACAGTGGTTTTGTAGACATCTAACTAATACATGTGCTGCTTAGGTCATTTTAACACACGTTGACTAAGCCAGTCAGGGAGGATACAAAAGTCACAAGAGGTTATTAAGATTATTAAAATAGTACCTGACTCAAAGAATATTAAATCAATATGTTCAATAAGTATTTGTTTATTGCGAGCAGTACTCCCATCCCCAAGGAGTTCACAGTCCTTGAGGCCCTTGGCCTTGTTTTTACATGATATGCAGAAACGTTAGAATTTAATGAGATGTCACAGATGCGGTACTATGACAAGATAAGAAACTCTACACTGGTACATAACAAATAAGAAATTCTAATTTTTATCATTAATACCTTAATCATAGTTTTTTGGGTAAATGCCTTTTAAAACAGTAAGGAATGAGTATGGAACAGATAAGCTAGAATTTCCCATTTGGGGAATGGGACAGCCAGAAGTTGCCATTTGATTAGATTGCTCTATTGTAGATTTTAAGAGGTGTGCACAATTGTGTTCCTTGCCAGTGCTATAAAGTATGTGGTCAAATGCAGTGCAGATGCTCTCATATACCACCGGCATTATGAAACCAAATGTGGTTTAGAACCTTTGCACAATATTGTAGCCCACGGAATTCTACTAAACTTTATCCTCCCTGGATTAATGGTTCTCAGTGTTTTTGATTTTTTAATACCTTCATTCAACCAGCATTTTTTGGATGTTTACTATATGGAAAGCATTAACTTTATAGTCTCTAAATTAATTATGATGTTATAAAAAAATTATGTGTCACTTTCGAGGTAGTTTTAGCAAAGGCGCACCATTTATCCCACTGGCCAAGTTAACAAAAATAGGTAGAATATTTAGTCCTTGTAGTGCCTTTTGGCCTGGCACAATAGTGCATGAAACAAAAATAAGTTGACAAGCATTTTCTTTTCAACAACCAAACATCTTAATGTTATACTTCAGAGCCAGAGGTGAGCCCTGCCTTTGACAGACCCTTGATTGTACTTCAATCCGTTCTATCTTTAATTCTCCAGTCTCTCTGACATTTATTTAATTAGGAACTAAAGGAAATGCAAGGTTGATTGTTGGAGCTGGAGAATTTCATAATGGGCCTGGGCTTAAAGCTATCCAAGAAGTAAAACATCTAAGCTCACAGATCTGGTGTATGAAGTTAAACATATTAAGAGGTTATTGCCTGGGAAGGGGGATATAGAGGGTATGTAGTTATAAATTACCCTTGTTCCACAGTGCTTCTTAGTCTAGCATGAAATTTTGGATTGTCAAATGCAAGTAAATTACTTTGTTTCACAGGGATGTTTCCCCCAAAAATGGCCTTAAGACATTTTTCTCTCGAGAAAATTATAAAGATCATTCCATGGCTCCAAGTTTAAAAGAACTGTGCGTTTTATCTAACAGGTAATGTGTTTATATATTTGGTTATTTATTCCATATATAATTGTTGTTTTCTGATAGTTGAAGTTTTATATCTATCTCCACTATTAAACATTCAAATTATAGAAATGTAGAAAATAAGAAAACCACTCTTAACACTTTGATTTTTATTTTTTCAGACCTTTATACATGAACATATGTATGTATAAACATATATGTACATTAAAACAAAATGGGATCATACTAAAAATAGTATAAAATACTACGAAACTGTTTTGCAGTTTGCTTTTTTTCATTTAAAGTGATATTTTGTGTATATCTTTCCATGCCCCTATATATAGCTCAGTCTTAATGGTTGCATATTACTTCATTATATAGATGCGATTTTAATTCATTTAGCTTATCTATGTTGCAAAATGTTTGTGTTCCTCTTTTTTTTGTAATTAAAAACAGCATATTGGTGACTTTTAAATAATTATTTCTATAAGATACATTCATAAAAATTGAACTCTTTGGTCAGACAGTATATACATTTTATATTTTAATAGATTCTGCTAAAGGGTTTTTTCCTCTCTGATATGAAAATGACTATTAAGTGACAATTTTCACTTCTTACTGCTCACCTGCCTGTAGTAGCTTTTCTTTCCTTTTTAATTAACTATTTCTACTCTTTTGTGGATGAATCTGGAAACACAGTAATTTTTTACCAGAAAGATGTGTAAATACACCAAATGAGGAATTAGGGAACTCCCCGAGGGAAACTCACCATTTGCTTTCATCCTTTCCCCTTTTTCAATGGAGGAAGCATACCTCCCCATCTTTTCATGCCTTCTCAGTATCTTTTCTGTCAGTCATCCCCTCTTACTCCTGTGTCTTTGTTCTGTCCTATTTTCAATCTTCTTGATCAGTATTTAAACATGCTCAAGTTTTTCCTGTTTTAAATTATCCTGTACTCCACATTCCCTCCTAGTTACTTCCTTACCTCTTCTTTCATTTGTACTTAGATGTCTTTAAAGACTTGTATGTGCTTGCTGGGAGGAAATGAGGGACAAAAAAGCTGTAAGACATAAAACAATTAACAAAATAGCAATCAATAGTAAATCCTTCCCTATCAATAATTATTTTAAATGGATTAAATTCCCCAGTCAAAAGATTGATTGGCAGAGTGGATTTTAAAGATAGGATTTAAAATATTCCATTCACTGCACATCCCACTGTACTTGCTTTTCACTGAACATCCCACTGTAATCTGGCTTCCATCCTCTCTTCTAAAACTGCTTCTCTCATGGTCATCAGTCATCTCTTGACTATAGAGCTATCCCACTCTCCTAGTCTTCTCCTTAATTTTCTAGTATTTCTCAGACTCTTTTGCCATCTTCATATTCAGGCTTCCCACACTGGCTGATCATCAGACTCCCTGGAGGTTTTAAAAAACACTGATTCTGTGGGTGCAGTGGCATGTACCTGTAGTCCCAGCTATAGGAGACTGAGACTGGAGGATTGCTTGAGTCTAGGAGTTCAAGACCAGCCTGGGCAACATAGTGAGATCCTGTTGCAAAATAAAAATAAAACAAAACACTGGTTTTGCACTCTAAACCCAGCCCTTTGAATCTGAATCTCTGAAGGTCGAGGATGCATCTGTGGAATTGACTCAGCTATAATAGGTGTATGTGTACTGTAATACACACATATTAATATAGCCCCCTTTTTTGTACAGTGGGTGCAAACTGTGTATAGTAGTCTGCATTATGCTTCCCTCCCTTCCAACATAACTTGGTGATGTTTACATATTAGTACGTATAGATGACCTCATTTTTTTTCATAGCTGTGTTATATTCTGTTGTTGGATGTAAATAATTTTTAATTGATGTCTGCTAGCTTGTTTCTATTCCTTCACTGTTACAATGAGCATTCTTTTTTTACACGTGCTTGATGTAAGTAGGATAAATTCCTATAAGTGGAGGGTGGTGTGTGTATGTTTATTTTGGTAGATATTGCCAGGTTGCCATTAAAAACTTACAGAAACAAGTGCTTTTTTGATTCCATCAGATGAATAGATAAGTTCACATAAAATCAAGCAGAAGTTTTGTTAAAGATACAATTTCAAAAATCAATGTTTTCAAGAGGCAGTTTCAGAGCAACTTTCTTCTTGCCAGAGTACATAATTATAATGTGTTTGGTAATGTCAGCTATACAAGGGTAAGGGAACAGACCCCCTTATGTATGTACATTTATGGATAGTTTGAAAAACTATTTCTGTTATTCAACTTGTACCATGTCTTGGGGATAACTAATTTCTTAAAACTTATTATCAAATAAAGAATTACTTTTGTTTATTTGAATCAAAAAACCACCAATTCTCGTATCCTGGGATTTAGAGAACATATGTCATTATCTTTTTTTTAAAAATCGTCTCACTATTTTCAAATTCTTAATTCAGCCTTCATTGTTTCAGACTAAAGATTTCTAATATTAATCTTCTTCATCTTTCCACTGCTTCTTCATTATTTTAATGGTTCTTTTCAAGTCCACTTCTGCTTAGTATATCCCAGGTGTGTGTTATAGACTGGCTTTGTATAAGGGAGAGGGCATTTTGCTGACAGTTGGGTGTGCCTAACTCCTAGAATCTTTTTTTCTTAGAATATGTTTGTTTTCTATAGTCCCAGCTGCTCAGGAGGCTGAGGTGGGAGGATCACTTGAGTCCAAGAGTCTGAGGCTGTAGTATGTTATGATTGTGCCTGTGAATAGTTACTGAACTCCAGCTGGAGCAACGTAGCAAGACTCCATCTCTTAAAAAAAAGAAAAAAAGTGAAAAAAGAAACTAAGAATATGCTTCTTTTCTTTAGATTTCTATCTAGCACAAAATAATTTATTAGTATAATTTACCTTTTACTATAGAAAAATAAAGACACAAGGCATTAATATGATGTGTTTCTAGTCTTTTTTCCTAACCTTAAGTTTTAGTAAGAATTATTACAGTAAGGAATGGATTTCAAGCTCTGTTACTAATTTGCAACTGTTTTCTTGGTGAAAAAAAACCAGAAAGAATGTAAAATTTTTATTATCCCTAATTTTGTATTTTTATGTTCTCTAACATGTTGGAAAAATATTGATACCTTTAATTATGCTGCTTTCAACAATATGAGGTTTTTATTCAACCCTTCTTCCTCCCCAGAAAGGCTTTTTACTCTGTTAATTTCAAGATAAAAAAACTTTCCTTTTTCTCTCTGTACTCTATAAATGTTTATACAATGAAAGGACAACTCGAATAGCCTTTTTACAAATGAGTAATATAAAGGTTAGTATTGTGTTATGTTTCTGTGAAGCATCAAAAATAAGTTATATTTGTTATAAAATATTTGTAAAGTCCACCTAAGAACAAAGGAGAAAAGGGCATTTTATGCTCTGTGAGCTATTCATGTAGAAATAGCCATTGTAAACAA